ATCAGCATTAATAAAAATTATATCAAAATAATATGAATAAAAAGGAATAACATAAAAACGATATGAACAATAATACTGATTTATAGGCATATTAAATGTACCTATTTTATAATGGTTTATATACATATGTATATATATATATTTAAAAAAATAAAAATATATGTTAAAATTATATACATATATGTAATGTACATATTTGTGTATATATGTGTATAATTTAAAATGTATATTAACATTATATATATATATATATATATATATATGTTATTCGTTTCTTATTTCTTATACACAAAGGCGGTTTCGATTTTATCTATGATATTATAATTGATATACATATAGGCTTATATATATATTTAAATGAACATATATAAATAAAATATTTAATATGTCTATATATATTTAAATATATATATAAAATATAAGATACATACATATATATATATATATGTATATATGATTATATCGTTATCATTGTCATCATATTGCTTATTGTCATTATTATTTCTATTATACTTTTTTATTAATATTATTTTTATAATTGGATTTAAATTTAAAGAAAAACAAAGCAATGACATAAAACACTTTAGTTTTGACTTAAATATTCAGTACACAGTAAATTGGGGCCCGTGTTAACTTGCGGCCTAGTTGAGTACTTGGGGCCGAGTTGACTTGGGGCCGAGTTGACTTGGGGCCGAGTTGACATGGAGCCGATTTGACTTGGGGCCGAGATGACTGGGGCCGAGTTGACTCAAATTCGCCCATATAACAATGTACAGTAAATATATGCATTTTCTTCCATACTGATACTATGCATTGATAACTTATCACACAATGTAGTATGGTACAAACAATATTTGGCTATACCTTAAATATGTATTTATTTGTCTGTTATAATACATGTATAAATTTTATTTAATGATGTACATAAATTGTTATAAAGATCATCATAGTGTAGTAACATAGGGAGTTGTTCAGTGTTGTGGCTCTATAACAGCTCCCTGGGTAATGCTAAAATATTGGATTATACCTTACAGCTAATGTCAACTTTTTAATGTTGAAAACCAAATTCAGATAACACATGTTGTCACAACAAATCAAACTGTACATTATTCATTCAAAAAACTTGACAGTGTCCATGTTAGCTCATAATCATTGATCACAGACCAGCTATACTTGTGTACCAGCTCATTTTCAGTATCATCACTTAACAATAGTAAATTCCATAGTAGCTAGCTTATTATAATCATTGATTAATTATTAAATATACTATACTAAACTGGTTACTAACTTAGTAGTGCCCATATTAAATCCAAATGATAAAACAAGAATTATACTGAAATAGCAACCACGTTAGCTCAATAAATAACAAAGCACATTAATGTTGTGCCAGACTTACTTAGATGGTGCCAATGTTAACTCAAATTCAGTGGCAGCTATAGGTACACACATTGAAGTGGTACCCATAGGAAAATATTACCAGCATACTATTTAAAAGTGGTGCCCATATTCATAAATTATTAATTAGTCATTCCCATGGTGTGCTCAACTTACCTTAATTTAATTCACTGAATTATTGTCAATGTTATCTCATATTTATTGATTAAACAAATGATAAAACAAGAATTATACTGAAATAGCAACCACGTTAGCTCAATAAATAACAAAGCACATTAATGTTGTGCCAGACTTACTTAGATGGTGCCAATGTTAACTCAAATTCAGTGGCAGCTATAGGTACACACATTGAAGTGGTACCCATAGGAAAATATTACCAGCATACTATTTAAAAGTGGTGCCCATATTCATAAATTATTAATTAGTCATTCCCATGGTGTGCTCAACTTACCTTAATTTAATTCACTGAATTATTGTCAATGTTATCTCATATTTATTGATTACTACTAAACACCAAACGTGGCAGCCAGCATACAAAAGTGGGGTCATATTAGCATATACACATAAATTTACAAATTAATCATTCTAAAGTTGTGCTCAAGAGATCTTATAATCAATCTGTAACATACAGTAAGTGACAATTCATTGATTACTAATAAACATACTGAAGCGGTGTTGAACATACTAAAGTAGTGCTCAAGTTATCCATAATCACTTATTATCAATACATCTTAGTGAACTAGTGCCAGAATTAGCTAATATTAATTGATTAATACTAAACACAATTAACTGCTGCCAAACTTACTAGAGTAGTGCCCAAGTTATCTATAATCAATTATTATCAATTTAATTTCGTAAATTAGTGCCAGAGTTAGGTAATATTAATTGATTACTACTAAACACACTTATCTGGTGCCCAACTTACTAAAGTCGTGCCTAAGTTATCTATTAATCAATTATTATCAATATATTTTAGTAAATTAATGCCAGAGTTAGCTTATATTGATTACTACTAAACACACTTAACTGGTACAAGACTTACTAAAGCAGAGCCCATGTTATCTATAATCAATTATTATCAATTTATTTTAGCAAATTAGTGCCAGAGTTAGCTAATATTAATTGCTTATTACAAAACACACTTATCTAAAATCAATTATTATCAATTTATTTTAGCAACTTAGTGCAAGAATTAGAACATTAATTGATTATATAACAAAACATACTTAACTGGTGCCCAACTTACTAAAGTAGTGCCCACGTTATCTGTAATCAATTATTATCAATTTATTTTAGCAAATTAGTGCCAGAATTAACCAATATTCATTGATTATTACTAAACACACTTAACTGGTGCCCAGCTTACTTAAGTAGTGCCCAAGTTATCTATAATCAATTATTATAAATATATTTTAGTAAATTAGTGCCAGAGTTAGCCAATATTCATTGGTTATTACTAAACACACTTAACTGGTGCCAAACTTTCTAAAGTAGTGCCCACATTATCTATAATCAATTATTATCAATTTATTGTAGCAAATTAGTGCCAGAATTAACCAATATTCATTGATTATTACTAAATACACTTAACTGGTGCTCAACTTGTTTAAGTAGTGCCCAAGTTATCTATAATCAATTATTATCGATTTATTTTAGTAAATTAGTGCCAGAGTTAGCTAATATTAATTGATTACAACTAAACACACTTAACTGGTGCCCAACTTATTAAAGTACAGCCCACGTTATCTATAACCAATTATTATCAATTTATATAACAAATTAGTGTCAGAGTTATCTAATATTAATTGATTACTACTGAACTCACTTAACTGGTGCCCAACTTACTAAAGTAGTGCCCAAGTTATCTATAATCAATTATTATACAGTACATATATTTTCGTAAATTAGTGCCAGAGTTAGCAAATAGTCATTGGTTACTACTAAACACACTTAACTGGTGCCCAACTTACTAAAGTAGAGCCCACACTATCTATAATTTTAGCAACTTAGTGCCAGAATTAGCTAACATTAATTGATTATTACAAGACACACTTAACTGGTGCCCAACTTACTAAAGTAGTGCCCACGTTAGCTATAATCAATTATTATCAATGTATTTTAGTAAATTAGTGCCAGAGTTAGCCAATATACATTGGTTACTACTAAACACACTTAGCTGGTGCCCAACTTACTAAAGTAGAGCCCACGTTATCTATAATTAATTATTATCAATTTATTTTAGCAAATTAGTCCAGATTTAGCTAACTTTAATTGATTATTACAAAACACACTTAACTGGTGCCCAACTTACTAAAGTAGTGCCCATGTTATCTATAATCAATTATTATCAATTTATTTTAGTAAATTAGTGCCAGAATAATCTAACATTAATTGATTATTACAAAACACGCTTAACTGGTGCCCAACTTACTAAAGTAGAGCCCACGTTATCTATAATTAATTATTATCAATTTATTTTAGCAAATTAGTCCAGATTTAGCTAACTTTAATTGATTATTACAAAACACACTTAACTGGTGCCCAACTTACTAAAGTAGAGCC